GCACTAACATTATTTACACTATTGTTTCATTTTATAAAACTGAATAATTTTAACGGAGTGATATTTTAAGCTCTGCTCCAACTTTTGAAATAAGTGCTCCATCATTACGTGCAGCCCAAAAAGATGAGATATCCGCACAGCTTCAGGAAGTATACCTTCAAAATTTGGGGCAGCAGATCCTTTACCAATGGATAAATGTTGTGATAGAATATTTGGCGAATTCCGATATGGACTGCAATGGCAACCAGTCAACGTCTTCGGACGAAGGAACAGAGCTTAATCATAATCTACGGGAATCTGAGGTTCTTCATATTGAAGTCCCTCCAATATCTAGCGGGGACGTTTTGGTGGATCGTAAAAGTATATTTCAGGCGCATGTTGCACATATAAAGTCTAAAGAAGAGGTAGGGTAATTTTCATGCAAGTTTTGGCTTTATTTTTTTGTTTTGTATACTTGAATAAAAAGGTTTTGCAAAAGTCTCAACAATTTGTGAAAAGTTTGAATTTCCTTGAGATTATTTGCATATATTTGAAGTTGTTTTATAGGCAATGCTTGTACTAAACAAATTAAAGGAAAATGGCAAAATAGCCAGAGCTACACACAACATGTATGCTTGGATAACCGAAGAAAATGCGAATAGTCGGGTTACAAAGCAACATGATTGTGAGGTGTTTTTTTAGATGTTTTTAGTTGCCTGAAAATCATATGTCACTTTTAGTAGTAATACATTACGTTGATTAGGATGATGGTGAGACTGGAGCCGGAGCAAAATTGCTTCATCTTCTCGAGCTTATGAAGGCCAAAAATGTTATTGTCATAGTTACCCGCTGGTACGGCGGAATACATCTTGGTCCAGATCGGTTCCGTCATATTTGTAATGTTGCTCGTGAAGTGCTGAAAGAGAATGGTTTTTCAAATCGGTCATAACTTTCTTTTTCAAAACCTTCGAAAAAGTTTTCTTTTCTATGGAATATTAATTTTTCCTTTTTTTAAGTAGTTTAACAATCAGTATTTAATATTGTCACCAGTTTTCTTGGATGTTTTCATTTTTCTATCTTCCGGCCCTGTTTGCATGGCTGTCGTGAAAGAGTGTTTGAATTATTAAATGCAAAATTTTTCTAAGAAAGTTAATTGGAAATTTAGGACAACGTCAGTTAAAAGAGATATTTTTGTGAAACTTTTAATGCTTTTAATATTTAATTTTTCTAGCTGTTTCATGTTTAAGTAATTGTTTAAATTTTATTACTCTCTGCTTGGTGATTGTTAAAAGACGCCGCTTATGTTTTATGATTGATCTGCAGATGTCACTGTGCTAATATACTGTTAGTTTTAATGATAAAATCTATTTTTTTGTGTGAATTTAGTTTATTGTATATTTAATATTATCATCGCTATCTAATGAGCCTTCAGAAGCTGATATGTAGGTTTTACTGGTTGCTTCTGACAAGTTTTGTTAGGTTGCATGTGCTGATGTTTATTGACTGTAGCTGGTAACCAGAATTATTATATGACATTGATGTAAAACAGACCAGGGTAGTATTAAGATTATATTTGGAATTTTTTAATGAAAATATATTTCTGTACACGGTGCCAATAAAAGATATTAATGCGGGGTGTGCACTTGTACAGTTTTCTCATCCCTTTTTTTTTTCAAGCTAGTTTTCAGTTTAATATCAAGGTGGATGGTTGTTCTTCATTCCTCCTCTTTTTTTATTTTGCTTGGGTTATGTCTTTTAAGCGTCAGGAAGAGGAGAGCCTGAATGACTAATGAATGTACTAGTGGGAAATAACAGGGATTTAATGTGGTTTGCATGTTCACGCTTAGTGCGATAGGGGGAAGAGCATGAAGGGATTTAATGCAGTTAATAAGCTAAGGCATTGAGATCCTATTAAGGCTGCTGTTGCGTATTGCAGCTGAAATTGACTGTCAAGATATGTGCCTAGGAACCATAAAAAAAAAGGCAGGAAAAAAAAAGCTATTTGTATGTTGTTTGCTGTTGAAAAGAAAACAAGGGCAGTGGAAAAAGTTGTTATAGTAGAGAAAACGGCTTTTGAAATGTTATTTTTTATTCCGTATTGATGACAATATTGGTTTCATTTTAGTTGCAAAATTTATATGTTGGTATATGGACGTCTGGGCTACCCAAATTAAAATTGATATTGTTCTCCACTTTTTTTCTGTTTTCTTTATTTAATACACAAGTGGATAAGACAAAAAAAAAGAAAAATTGGATAAATTTATGGTGTCTATATCTGCTGAAACAGTCATCAAGATACCTGTAAATGTTAATGAAGGAGTTAATTGTATTAATTTTATCAACATGCTCTATTAATGTGTCGTCGAGTAATAAATTTTTAATTATAAAATGAAGTTATTTAGCAACTATATAGATGTCAACGAATAATTTTCAGTTGGTTAGTCAAAGGAATGGTTAAGTTTTAGGGTTTAAAAGTGAAGAATAGGGTGGAAAAGAGTTTCACAAATTTTTTTTATTTTTTTTGCTCTTACTGTTGACGATGTTTTTGTTGTCGTGCTTTAATTGACTGCTATCAACATGAACTTCTTCATCTTTGCATGAAAAAGGAGTAAATTTGAGATGAAAGTTTTTGCAAAGAAAAAAAAGGAACGAATTTTTGTTTGAAGTTATTGACATGAACCTTTCGTGCCACTTTTTTCGACTTGTAGTGTTCAGTTTTTACTTTCTTTACTTTTTACTCGGATTTATTTAAATGGATACGTATAAATGCCGGTGAGTTATAGTTGTGGTGCTGAATATTTTTACTGATATTTGCTTATTACTGATTCTATTCTGACCGTTTACTATTACTGATAATTGTAATTGCTGTTATTTGAAGAATGCTGGTAATTTTTTAATTTGCATTCCTATTTCTGTACCAATTTTAATTCTTTGTTTTCTTCCTTCTTTTTTTTGTTTTTTTTTTTTTTTTTTAATCACTTCACTAAAAATTGTTATTAATTGCAACTTCTTTTTTTTCTTTTTTTTATACTCGTACACTTTCTGTAGTATCACTTTTTAAGGGTCTGTTATCGCATTGTTGATTAGAGGAGGTGTAAGGCTAATCTAAATATGCCTATAATCTAATTGTTTTACCTTATTAGGTCAAATCATTGTTGGTTGTTGTTGTCAAAATTTTTTTTATATTTTCAAATGTTTCTTCCTGAATGATGCTGCTGATAGGATATATTAATGGGTTTGTTAACTTTTTCTTGCACCTTTTTTCTTGACTTTATGTTCATTGCTGGAGAAAAAAAGGTGAAAATTTTTTGCTGTGTAACTAATCAGATAGGTCAGCCTAATCTTAACTGATCCTATAAGCTTGGGCGTTTGGCGTTGTTCTCCTTCTTCTGCTTGTGCTTTCCTCTCAATCCGTGCATAGTTATTCAAATACTGTTACTTTTTTTTTCTTTTTGCAATAAATGGCCTAAAATTTAGGGTTATCAGTTGTAACATAGATTAATGTTTTCATTTGTTTAAATTAGCAACATTTTTTTAAGGTTTATTATATTTGCTGTTGTTGCTGTTGTTGTTATTGTTGCTACTGCAACTGCCACTGTTGCTGATGTCTCATTTAATATACTACCAAATGTGCTTATTATATTGATATCTAAAAGCTGTTTTATATTAAAAATTTATGCACCTATATGGTGTAAATAATTGTGCAAATGGGTGAGAAAATGGGAGAAAAAGGGAAAAAAAACTAGAAATGGAAATGAAAGAAAAGGAGAAGAAAGAGAATAGAGGAAAATGATTAAAAAATAAGCTGCAACTATATATCCATCGGCTGAGACATTATTAATTGGTATTTAGAACACTTATGAAGCTGTAAAACAAAGGAAAAAAGGCATAATTCTTCCACCTCAAACGAATAAACACATCTGTATTGTTGCCGTTGATACTGCTGCTGTTTGCTGACGATGCTGATGCCGATGCCGATGCCGACCGATATTGACGCTGACGTTGCTGTTGTTATTGTTGTTGCTGTTGGAATTAGCAATTTTTTTCATCAAATAAATTAGTTTGATAAAAAGAAAAGCAAATCTTTTTTTTACTCTTTTTTTGTGTCTGAAATATTTTTTTTGTTGCTTCTTTTTCTTATTTCAATTTGTTCTTTTTTTTTTGGAAGGTAAAGGAGGAGGAGAAGTTTTTACCAATAAACTTATTTAGAGTTGTGTTATTTATCATGAAACCTGATAATTGTTTTTCATCGGTCTTGTTAGCACTTCGAAGAAGAAAGAGATGGAATTAAACAAACTCTTC